CTCTGAAGCGAATAGAGGCAAAATACAAATCCAACAACGTTTTGAACTGCTGCACAGATGTTGCCTCAATCACATGTTCGGGCAAACTGTTCCAAATGTTTACCACTCTCCTTTCGAAGCACAATGGGTGGGGAACACATTTCATATCCGGCATGACAAGTTTGTATCTGTGTCCGCGTGTGCTGCATAGTCCTCGTAAGTGCAGTATTGGTCTTAGCATGGGGAACTCACCAAGATGTAGAATTCGGTAGGTCATAATGAGGTCGACTCGCACCCGACGGTAGGACAAGGTGTAGAGCCCTAGTTTCTCGCACCGGTCTTCATACCCAAAGCCACGTAAACTCGGGATGAGCCTGGTAGCAAAGTGTTGGACCCGTTCGATCTTTTGTGCCTCGCCTCGGGTAATCGGAAAGTAGGCGGGCGAACCGTACTCTAGCATTGGTCTAATGATAGAAGTGAACAGGCGAGGGGCAACCTCTTCAGACCATGTGCCGAAGCTACGTTTGAGCGCCCAAAGCATGCGCAGTCCGTTCCGATATAACCTGTTCGTGTTGTCCACGGACTTCAAATCGTAGCGTGAGAGTACACCTAGGTCCTTCACGGAGGGTGTGGGATATAGCGTTTGGCCGTCAAGAGTGTATGTTCGGCCGTTAGCACCCTTCCCCAGGCTCATAAATACAGACTTGGCTGGATTGACTGGGAGAAGAACTTCTGCAGACCATGTGGATAAGCGGTTGAGATCTTGATGAAGTAGGCCACAGTCATCGGGAGCGTCGATTTCTCTCCAAATCTTCATGTCGTCCGCAAACAAGGCACACGGCGACCGGAGAAGCTGCGGTAGATCATTGATGTGGATCAGGAACAGAGTGGGCCCCAGCACAGTGCCTTGAGGCACGCCACTTGTAGAGGGGTACCAGTCAGTTAGATGGTCGTCGACCTGTACTCTCCACTTTCGTCCAACAAGAAAATCGGTGATCCACCGGTGCAGCGAGCCACCGACGCCACACATGCTGAGTTTGTGAAGGAGAACCTTATGGTTGACCTTGTCGAACGCTTTACTGAAATCGATGAATATCACGTCGACGGACTTCTCCTTGTTTATTGCCTTCAACCACTCATGCCTCGTCACAAGCAGGTTCGTAATGCATGAGCAACGTCGTATAAAACCGTGCTGTGCGGGCGTCAGGACCTCCTTTGACTGTAGCAACTGCAGCAATCTCTTCTTCATGATTTTCTCAGCAATCTTTGCCAAAATAGGTGTCAGACAAATTGGCCTGTAGTTGTCTACTTTGCTAGGGTCGCCGCCTTTCGGAATAGGCTTCACCACCGAACATTTCCAGTCAACCGGCAACGAACCTTCGGACAGCGACCTGTTAAAAAGGTCAGTCACGACAGGAGAGAGGATGGTTGAAAGTGACTTGAGAACCAGTGGGTGAAGCCCATCAGGTCCGGCAGGTTTGGTGCCGTCAAGGTTGGCGAGTAGTTGAGCTAGCTCTTCAACGCCGCATTGCAGACTATCGAGTTCGGTAAAAGCGGTACACGTCGAACTCGGAACAGACACCTGGTTATTCGCAAATACAGAAGCGAAGTGCGCCGCCAACGCGGACGCACGCTCAGTGCTGGAGGTTAGGGGCTGTCCATCCGTGCCATCCAGCACTGGCACATCACCTGCCGGCTTCAGGCGTCGCTTCACGTATGCAAAGATTCTCTTTGGGGCGGTCTTCGCGGCTAATGCGAGCTGCACTTCAAAGTGTCGGCGTTTATTCTTTTTCGCACTGTTGCAGAGGTTTCGCTGACATTTATACCCTTCGTAATCATTGGCAGAGCCAGAGAGAAGGAATTTGTCCCACAGTCTGCGCCGCCTTCGAGCCAGGTTTCCATACTCCTTATCAAACCAATGAGGCTTAATGGGTCCAACCTTCCGACATTTCAATGACACAAATTGGGAACACAATGATGTCAATCTCTCTTTTATAAATATCCAACAATCTTCCACAGATGCAGCTTGTGAGAGAGACCAATTCATTTGGCTCGCGGCTCGACCTAGACCATTGAAGTCCGTTTTCCAGTAGTTGGGAGCTGGTTGCATCGGATGTGAATACGTTAAAGATAATTCTATATCAGCTATCAGTACTGAGTGGTCGCTCGTAGCCAGGGGCTCCAGGATCCTAACGTCACGCACTCGCTGTTCGTAGCTCGTTAACATCAGGTCGAGACAGGACGAGGTTGAACGTGTTGATATGCGTGTTGGCTGGCATATGTGTTGCGATGCACCATTTTCAAGTACCAAATCCACGAACTTTGCTTCAACCTCACTATGTCCAGGCATCAAATGCACATCAGGCCATCGTATTCGAGGACAGTTAAAATCGCCCATAAGCAGAAAGTGTGGACGACTCATGTGGGCTTGAAGATGGGGCAGCCAATCCAAACAACGACTCAGCGGACTGCGATAAACTGCGCCCACAAGCAGTTCTCCGCGCCTGAGGCGGATGGAGCACCACAGTAGCTCACACAGGCCATCGTCACTTCGGTAGATGCTCACAAGTCTCCCACGCAGGGAAGACCGGATGTAAAGTAAGACACCACCGTGGGCATTCTTTAGTCTATCGCATCGGAAACACGAGTAACCGCTGAGTTCAAGTTCTTGGGTGTATAACTCTGCATGCAGCCATGTCTCTGCGAGTCCCACTACGTCTGGCCGCTCAGACGCAACGAAATAACAAAGCTCATCGCGCTTGTTCATAACACTGCAAACGTTTGTGAAGGCTACTCGCAGGCCGCAGCAGAAGCCGCCGGGCGTGCTTGAAGTGTGAGCAGCCTGTTTATCCTGATTCGCGGATTGTTGGAAACCACCCGAAAATTTACGATACGAAGATTCGTTTCTCCCTCACCAGTGCGTCTTTTCAACTCAATGATGGCAGACTTGAGCCGCTCCCTGTCTACTGGGTCCAGGTCGGGACGAACATGGATCTTCAAACCTTTCAGCCTACTTAGGCGAGACATGATCAGTCTTGGAGTGGCTTCGTCCACAAAAGTGATTCTCATAGGCCGATTATGTTGATCACCTTGCTTTCCAAGACGAGTAATCTGTCTCACTTTTACCGAGTCCTCACCAGCGTCGAGGAGTCTATCAATTAAACCCTGTAAAAACTCGACATCGTGATCGTAGCGCACTTGAGGTGATGGATCACTGGACTCCGGTGCGTGAAAGATCACGAGATTATAACGCCTCTGGTAGGATGAGGTTGGCCTTGCAGGGCAAAGTATACTACCAGCCTCACGTGGTTTGGCTAACTGTTGACTTACAGAACGTAAACACCCAACGTTCCTTCGTAATTTCGTCCTTTGTTCTTTCCACTGGTCTTCAGCACTCAGACTTTCACCTGCTGGGACATCAGTGTCCGTTGGACACAACAAAGGTAAACAATTTAGGCCAGGTGCAACTGGGCTTCTCACAACGGTTGGACTTGGTGTCGGTGAGTTTGCACGGGTAGAGGAGGACGACTGAGTCGAAACCTGAAGGCTCTTCGCGCTAGGTTGTTGGGCCAAACACACGGAGCTGTTCGCAACGAAACGCTGAGGCCTACACGTCGGCTTTACTCTTTCTGGCTGTATCTTATTTCGGCAATTTTCACATACAGTTTGGATGAAATCGTGTTGGATCTTGCGAAGACGATGAAAATGCTCAACTGATAATCCAACACATGAAATGTGGTATTTAACTTGGCACAAAACACACGTGAGGGCATTTGCACGGTATCCGACTAGTTTGGAGCAAGTACCACAGGATGACTGCTTCGGCATTGTGAATAATCCGAAAACAAGATGGCGGCCAATTGACGAAGAAAATGGCGATAGCAAGATCGCCAAAACCAAGTGATGAAAACACAAGTATTTCTGGTCGGAAACTTCAGAATCGGAAATGAAACTGAATTTTAGCTCAATTTCCACGAAATACTTCCAATAAACGCAGAAAGTTAACACAAAGTGATCTTGTCAACACAGCCAAAAATAATCGACCGGAGGACGTTATCCGCAGTTACTATATGAACCGATAAGATGGCAAACGTTCACGGGACTAAATGACTCAGCATCAACTAGGAAAATACAGCATATGCCGAATACGAGAGTTAAACACGGACCGTTCTCAATTTTACAGTCCGGGGCTTTCGAGTTCCGCGCTGTTGATAACCTCGTAATCGCTTTCTGATTGGCTGCCCTATTTTGTCCTACATGCTTCGAGTCAGGTGTGAGCTGTCCTTGGAAAATGTTTAGCGACTAATGCTTCTCGACCCGATAACTGTGAGGCGCGGTTGTGGATGCAAGCTAATGGGCGCACGGATACAGTCATTGAATGTAGGCAAACGCGAAAGTTCTAGTGACTGGGTGGATGAGAAGCGGGCGACTGCAATCTCTATTTGTAGCAACCGCACACACCGTCGGGTTGATGTAGGCCGGGGCTCCTTTGTAAGTCTGCGAAGAGTACTCTGAAATGCACACGAAACAAGTGGTGTTACACTGAATTCTGACGGTGCTCTTGCCATAAATGCGGTAGCCAGTTAAACAGGTGTAAGAAGGATGGCGCTGTGATTCTTAACCTGTTGACTAGAGTTCGTGAATCCGAGTCGAAAGAGTGCAACCGCAGCCGTGTACACCGAAATGGCGATTGAAGGATGATTGCCGAGTCAGAGCGTTGCAGCTATGCGTCCGCCTGGTAGCATGATATTCCACGGATTGTGTAGCGTGTAAACAGCATGATTACTGAATTGCACCGGCGTCGGATAGCGTAGCTGATGTCACCTCCACCACGACGCCGGTGGTGGTGGTGCTGGTGCTCAGACCACACCTACCTCGTATAACTCCCTCAGCTAATTTTGCAGTCTTACTACCGATGTGCTATCACATATGCTCGAAGTAGGAGGTGTTAGTCACCGGCCTTGAGTACTACCAAATTGTCCATGTCCCTAGTCGTAATTAGTCAAAAACGCTGTGGCGGTTCTAGGCAGCTATATGTACATAGTCAATTGTATTCGATTAGCTTAACACCTGTATGTTAACCGGCCAACCAAGTTTCCAACGTTAGTATGAGGCTGTTGGGTGCTTACCTCTATTCCCTCGTTGTCATCCTAACTTATCTATTCATAATTGGGCACAAAAGAAGTATCAGTAGGATGCCACACCGACGCTTTGCTGTCACGCGACCACCAGTCACGTGTGCTGATGATGCAGCGTGGTCATTCCCACCGCAGTTTCGAACAGGCGATCTTTGGGTTTAAAACCCAGACGCCTCATCCCTTCTGCTACTGGCCGGGTTGTATAGTCATTTTTACAAGGTAACAGAGCAAATCATGGAGGTTCTCATTCTTATACACTTTTCTAAACACTTTAATCCCTGTTGACGTGTTTCTTACCTATAGTGCAGAACACCTGTCCAAATAGGAATGTACACCGGTAAAGCTCTGATCAGCCGCTAATTTTCTATTTTGGATATTTGCCGTGCTTATTTGTTTAGACCTGATCTCCACTACCTGCTTTTACTTGCTTTAGGATTCGCTTATTTACCACGTTTCCTTTATCAGTTTGGATGCTGGTGCGACGAATCATGTTTAAGGTAGGGGTTGAGGACAAACAGCTAACTCTATGTGCACGATAGCCTGGGACTGACAATCGACTGCACCGTGCAGACTTCACACTCCAAGTGACGACGGTCACAGTGGAACGCGTGGAACCAACACGTGCGCATGAGCACACTTCTTGGCGATAAATTCGGATTAAGCAGAGGACAGTTGGTTGGTAAATGTCGGCCCCTCATTTAAATAAGGAATTTTCGCACGTGCGGAGACATAAGTTGTGAAGAGAGGAGTAATTTCCTGTAGCATCCATATTGGTACATGTTCCCTTACTCTTGAGTTCACTATCACATCAGTAGCTTGCCTTACAGCAACAGGTAGATTGGTGTGTACAGGGTAATCATGGATGGAGTTCCATAGACGGAACTACCGGAGCAATGAACTCTAGAAGATGGGACTATGTACCGAAATGGATACCGCAAGAGCTTGCATTCCCACACGTACGAAGGCGCTTTACGACATTTACAGGCCGACATAGATTAGTCAGTTGTCACGCGTTTGGTCCAAAATCAGCGCTCAAAACTGTAACTAAACAAGCCTGGATCCACTTTTTGTGTTCCGACAAGAGTGTCGTCATTTGCGTGGGAGGTGGAACCTGCCTAGAGTGTGCAAAAGCAGTTATTTGTCAGCTTCAGAAAAACTGTTAAAACTCACAGGGAACTCCAGGCAAAGTAGAGAATGCATATTTCTGGGTTGCAAGTTACAGTCCAACTATTTGGATTGATCATTTGATACAACATGACCTCAACGTGCAATCGTTGTTTCAGATTTTCCAGAACAATCCAACACCAGATCTACGAGGATTTTAATTGGTAGAAATGGTAAAAAGAAGGAGAGTTCAAAAGTAGGACGAAAGTGGTTATGGAAAAAACAATAGAATTAATACGGCTATCCATGGAACCGACTCCTGCGGAGCTGTTATCAGGTGGGGTATTCCCTCCGAAAGGTTTCATCCGCACTTCCACGTTGCATTTGGCTTCGTGTCGGTGTGGCATAACAGCAAGCGAACCATCACTATACTAACTCCTTTTTATGGCCGTTCTTACACATAATGAGTAATAGGCTCGCACAGAAAGTGAATTCTCATGTTTTTCATTTGTTCAATACTCTTTTAGGCCATTCGGCCCATTTCGATTTCTAACTCTTTCAAGTCTGACATCTTTTTCACTCGACGATTGTCTGCCAATTTGCTTTGAGTAAGCATCCTTTTTCTCACCAGTAGGTCTGTGACAATTTGCCACACGTGGGTGTTTTAAATTATCCGGAGGCTTTATTGCATCACAGGAAATCCGCTTAATCATAGTCAACAATGGAAAAAAGAAGTATCGAAGGCGGTGAAATACAAATAATATTAAATGAGTCGTATATATCCGACAAGTTCTGCTTCACGTTGTGCATAGGGAATACATGGAAAAATAAACGAAGAAGGAAAAAGCAGCTCTGCGAACGATTTTGAGCTAGATCCAGTGACTCCAGAGAATCGAGTTGAAGAGTAATTGGTATAGAAGTTGGACTTCACAGAGCATCAGGAACTGCCAAAGGTAGTCGACTTGTTTCCTCCGCAAAAGAAGTGATAACAATGTTCAGTGCGCAGCAAATGTCAAGAGAGGGAGGAACATTGTCTTTGCATAGCGAAAAACGTGATAACATGACGTTGAAATGGTAGTAAGCTTAATGGTTTAACTAAACGAGAAAGATATTATTCCGACTGTTTGCACAAATTATCGTGCATTTGTCCCAGTCTTCCTATACTTCAACCCCTTCTTCATGCATTGACTCCATTCTGCAGTCCCATTTCACAAGAGCTTTGACTTGCACCATATTGATGCACGGATCCAGCAATTTCTAAACAATGGTTTGGATTTACAAGTCGCAATTCAGTAGGTAGACTATTCCAGCTATCAGAGTACTTTGCCAACCAAAACTTCCTGTGTAAGCTTGTTTTTGTTCTACTTGTTGGGAGCAAATATATCTTGTTCGTAATGTTATACCTTCCATTCTAAATTAAGTGCATACTAATGTGCAGAGCAAATACTCGTTTGTGCACTAGGTCGAATAGAAACTTCAGGCCTAGTTCCTACCCACTTAGCCACAACAGCTCTAATTTATGCAGAATACAGCGCTCTGAATAGTTTGGTTTTGTGGATTCGGTAAAGAGGACTTTGGTAAACCGACGACGTACCTTCTCCAAGCATTGACGATCACGTTTCCTACAACTAGTAAATATCATCGAACAGTGTCCCAAAAGAAAGTACATGCAGATCTTAAACATATGCAGCCTGAAATCACGCCATACCAGTGATTCGGAGATTAACCCCGCTGTCTGGCGGGTTTGGTTGATATGAATTCAATCTGCTCCCCGAAATTGAGGGTGCTTGAATAATAAATACCCAAGTCTCTTATTGTGTCGCAGAATGAAATTGGCTTTCCACAGAATTATAGGGTGTCCATATTTATTTTGCATCGATATGCTAAGATCACGCATTTGTCCGCAGTGAATGCCAGTTGTTACACCATTTTTCGATAGCTAATAAATCTCTCCGGATCTTATACAAAGTGTGTTCTAGATTTCTAGGATTAAACGTGTGAAGTACCTTAGTATCATCAGCAAAATGGCAGGCTGTACCATTTTTGATAGTCAGTTATGTCGCTAATATGCAGTGGTCCAAGGACACTTCCTTGGATCACAGCACTAGTAACAGGCATCGCTGATGACCTATGGTTGCCTATTTGCACTTGTTGAGTTCGATCAGAAATATTTCAACTAAACCAAGCATGCAAGGGGTCTATGATGCCAAATTGTGACATTCTCCACTCTGTCAACTGCTTTTTGTATGTCAATGAAAACGATGATAGCTACATGGCCATTATCCACAGAGCTCCTCAAACAATTCAGAAATTCTAGCTGTTAAGTTTGACATGATACTTTTTGTATAAAGCCATGATGAGTCTGGTTATAATCAGGTTTTGTGAGAGCAAATGGTTTATTGTTTTCTCTTTGACCATTCGCTCCATTACTCCCGTAACAGCAGGCGTGTAACTAATCTGGCGGTAGTATCAGAGGTCTGATTTTGGGCCATTTTTGTGCCTAGGCCTGACTAGCACGTTTTCATTGGATTGGGAAAATGCCCGACTCCTTGAACATGGCAAACAAGTTTAAGAGTAAAAGTGGTA